ACTATTCCCATGGTTAGATGTAAGGATCTGGGTGGGGCCCTGCTGGCTGTGGGGGCAGCTCCCTCTGACAGTTCCCTCTCTCCTCCTCTAATGTTCACTCCAGGCTCATCTCCTTTGGGGTCAGAGAGCTCCAGCCTGACAGCCCCTCTGTTTCCCAGGGGGTCACTGCCTCCGTGGGCTGCAGCTACTTTCTCTCTAGACCAGTGCTGGAGGGAGTCCCACAGGGGGAGGGAGGAGTGTGTGCCCTGCTGGCCTGGCCCAGGGGCAGGATTCGCCCAGGTCACCCCAGTTACTGAGCTGAGTCTTTTCTACAGTCCAGGAAGGGAGGGAGAGATGGAGCAGGGTCTACCTCAGCTCCTGGAGGAAGGTGTAATGTTAGCATGGGTGAAATTATTGTTTCTCATTTCCAGAGTTTTCCCTTCTGTCCAGGGTCACCCTCCAAGTACATCAGGGAGAAAAATCTCAGATAAACCCAGACTAGTGCCCCCACCTCTCTCCCTTCTTTCTTCAGGAAGGATGTGTTCAGGAGGAATGTTCTAGAACTGATGGTCCACACTGGAATGATGTATGGAAAAAGACGTTGGATTATGGTATTAGCTTCTGGGTTTTGAGGTAAGATTTTTTTTTACTGTAAAATTTATTTTGCTTTTGTTGTCACTATAATGATGTGCAAACTGAAAAATACCGGGAGCAGGAGAAAGTGTTGAATTGAGTTTTCAGAGTGCAGATGAAAAGGGAACAAGAAGCCAACAATGACAGTGAGACAGACATTTGGACAGAGTGTCCAGTTTAACCCATGTATGATCCCCTTAACCCAAGACTATGACCATTTTTGATCTCTGCTCAAACAGAATCAGAGGCTTTTTCACGTAATGTCCATTGAAATGTCTGAAATCCCTGTGAGCATAAACAGGCCTAATCCCAACAAAACACATGGTTGTTTGCAGTATGTTGGTTGGTGTGAAAGTCCTAACCCACCATTACCAGAAACAAGAGTCCTCCTGAGCTGCTTTTTATGTCACTTTATTGATTACTTAATTCAAATGACATATATTTAGGGTCCCATCCAACTGGCATTGGGGGAGCAGAGTGAGCAGTCCCAGGACTCTGTAACCAAAAGTCCAGCTGAGGAGCTGACAGGTGACCTGAGCCCAGGGGGAGCAGGAGGTGACAGGGAGGTGAGTCACCCGGAGGAGACAGCGGGGACGGTCCTGGGTGTGGGCGCGGGATGGGTCCAGGGCTGGGCATGGGCAGAAGCTGGAGCTGCTGCAGCGGGTGCTGAGAGGCGTGGGCCTTGCCCTGGGCCTGGACTCCAGCCTGTCCCCGCAGCACGCAGGTGGGACCCGCACAGGGACTCACTCTCTGAGCCTCAGTTTCCTCTGCTGTGTGTGGTGAGGTTAGGGATGCAGTGAGGTTGGTGAGCTGATGCCTGTGAGTCTCAGCTCAGGGCCTGGCACCTCGTGGGCGCTCAGCCCCTGTCTGCTCTCCTGGCTGCAGGGAAAGGGGTTGGGGGAAAAAGTGGAGGTGATGCCAGGCCCTGTGAGCCCTCCCTGCCTGGTGTGGGGAGCAGAGAAGGCAGGTGAGGGCCCCTGTTGAGAAAGGCCTGTTAGGGGGAAAGGATGTCCTGAGATAATCTCATACAGGCTTTGTGGACTCCACCCCCACTCCAGACTAAAGCCATCAGGACATTGGGAAAGACAAATCCCATCACCACCAAGGGGAGGGTGGCTGGGACCTGAGGGTGGAGTTGGGCAGCCAGGTTGGATATAAAAACCAAACACGTGGGCCTTGCTCGCTCTCTGGCTCGCGATCGCTCGCCTCCTGGCTTCACCGCTCCTGGCTGGCGGCCAGCTCTCAGAGCGCCATTTTGGGATTCCTGATCGGCGGATCGGGTAGGACTCATTTACAACTTTGTCTCCCAC